GCGTTCTTGAATTCAGATGACTTCGTTTGCATGGAATTTTCTGCACTTTTCGAGAACTACATTTCTGCCTTTGGTTGGTGACTCAGTGATTTCGGATGGCAGAGAGATTGTAATTTGCTTCGCAGTGCTCACTTCGTTAGCCAATAAATGATCAAGTGGTGTGATTTCCATGAAAACATCTGCATTTCACCAAAGAGCCAGTTTCTCACTAATGACTACGTGACTTCGACTTACGCCCTGTGAAATTATGTTTTGGTGCGATTCTGGGGAAACACAGAGTCACTGGATTTGAGGTCTAGTGATCGCCACGCTGATATCGCGGCGAGGTTTCTTGATAATATGTGCACAATGCATAAGTGAAAACATGGCCTTCGGTTTGTCCATATTGTCGACCTAGCAGGCGGTGGGCGCGACATAGAAAGCATTCACGACTTGTACGACGAACCGACTCATTCGTCGAAATCTAGTTTATGGCGGCAACGCTTGCGATTTCTCATCGACTAGCTGCACCGGACTTCTTGGCGGATGATATCGAAGTGTTAACAAAACCCGTCCAGCTCTGGGTCCTACAGACGCGCAAGCAGATCATCCGTCCCCTTGAAATGACTAAATTGTAATGGTCATTGTCTTGATTGAACGGCATTAACATGTCAGCACATCCACAACATCAATCGATTTTTCGTCATGCGTGGAACTCACAAATTATACTCTTAATGCCGTCTGTTGGTGCGGAGAACGGCGTGGAAACGACTCAGTGTGTCGTCTAAGTCGCGTAAGACGATGTGAGTTTGAGTTGCAGTAAGTTTGGTCGGGTCAAATGTGCCATGGACTTCAAGTGCGCCAGTTGCGGTCGGTTCGACCACCAAAGTAAACGCGTACGTGTGCACGGCGCCTCCAATATTACTTGTCCCGTGATCGGCCACGATCGGGTGGAATTCGAGCTTGTTGTCGCTTGGCTCGGGTGCAAAGTTCTGAAACATAAACAACGAATCGCACAAAGTTGCTTCCACTCCACTCCACGCCTTGATCTCGTCCAAGCTGGCAAATGCGTGCGACAGCAACGCGCTGTGTTCCGACTGAAATTTGTCCAGCGACGTCTGAAGCGAATCGTCTGGATTCGTGAACTCAACACGGCACGGTACGTCGTTGATCAACGGCCCCATCATCCTACCGACGAAACGAAGTTAGCCCCCAAACAGCAATCCTGCGGAAGCGTTCGTTGTACCGGTCGACGTTCTGAACAGGAATACTTCGGTTGGCCAATGTGAGGGCAAACGTCACGTAAGCCCGTTTGGTATAGTTTTGCAACGTCGTAGCCCAAGCAAACTGAAGTAGAGTCGACAGCGCGATGCCAGCGCCGGTAGCCGTTTCTGTAAGTTCGGTGGCGGACAAACGCAAGCTTCGGGAAGTGGCAACGCCGGTATTGCTGTGTTCTACTGGCGTGTCAAGGTCGGATGGCCACGTCGTTTGCAGCGATAATGGCGCGCCACGCAAATACGATGTCCAAAACGCACGGCACTCTTGCTTTGTCGCCTCAATGTAGTTGACCACTGCTCGAAATTGTGGTCGCATGGCCACCGAATTGGTGGCATACGCGTTAAGGATGTCTGAAGTGACCATGCTGAGTGACCACCCATCATACAGAGCGTGATGAATCGAAAGGACGGCGTGTCGTTGGCAAGCATCATCGCGGACAATCGCAAATCGAACGAAATTGCGATCGCCAGGTGTACACCCAACCCTTCGGTCCGCACGAAGAAAAACCTCGAGAGTTGTGTGGCCAACAGACATGAACGACAGATCGTCGACAGTGGATCGAATGACTTGATAAAACGTTGAGTCGACGGCAACAAACGACGTTCGAAGAATTTCGTTGTGCTGCACAACTCTCTTGACAGCGTCAAACAACGCTTGGTCATCCATGTCTTGTGGCATTGCGAGCACCATTTGAAGCAAATACGCCTCACGGTTCTCGACAGTTTCTTGGAGCATGACTGCTTGAAGTGGCGTCACTGGATACACCGTTGCATCATGAAAGCCCAGCTGAGCGATGATATCCGACGTGACCACATGTCGAGGGAGAGCTGCCGAAGGGTATTGTGCAGCCACATTTCGCGCCATCAATGAAGCTGTCCGAGAAACGGTCTTTGCTTTCACCAACTGGGCGACCGTGAGGTTGAAGCCTAGTTTGCGGCAAGCGCTGACGGTCTTCACAGCAGACAGCGAGTCACCACCCAATGCGAAGAACGATGTGTCGCGGCCAATGACTTGCATGCTGATTCCCAAAACGCTGGCCCACACCGCTGCAAGTTGCACTTCGAGGTCACTTACCAAAGCGTCGATTTCCACAGCAATGTCCATTCCTTGCAATGCCTTTTTGTCAATCTTGCCGTTGCAATTCATTGGCAAGGTGTCCAAACCCACCCAAGTGGCAGGAATCATGTAATCAGGAAGATAGCCGGCGACGAAGTCTTTTAGAGCACTCAAGTCGACAGTCGCTGGAGCGAAATACGCTACCAGGTGCGTTTTGTCCTTCACAACGGCAGTGGCCATCGAAACTTCGTCAAACCGCATTATGGCTTCGGCAACTTCATCCAGCTCGACACGGTATCCCTTCAATTTAACCTGACTGTCGCGCCGTCCCAAGATTTCAAAGTCTCCATTCAAGAGCAGTCGACCAACGTCACCAGTTCGATACATCAAACCATTGCCCGAGATTGGGTCTTGGATGAATGCATGCTTGGATTGCGCGGGTAAATTGATGTAGCCACGGGAGACACACATGCCGCCAAGGTACATTTCGCCCGCAACTCCAACGGGCACACGGCGAAGTTTGGCATCCAAGATATAGCAGCTCACGTTGTCAATGGGTTTGCCAATCGTGACTGGTTTGTCGGGATGAAGTTGTCCAAAATGTGTCACGATGGCGCATTCCGATGGCCCGTACAAGTTCAGGAGCTTAACGTGGCGCGACCACACCTTTACAAGCGGCAGCGGACAGCTTTCGCCACCAACACAAACCACCTTCAAGTTTGGGTATTGAGTTGGGTCGCCCAATTGACCCAACGCTGTGGGGGTGCACAGCATGACGTCGACTGTTTTCATCGCGTCGAAGCCGTTGGGGCTTCGTAGCACCAACGTTGCACCATGGGACAAGGTCTTCCACAAGTCAAACTGAAATCCGTCAAACCCAATCGCCAAGAACTGATACACTCGGGCGCCTTCGACATATCCAATTGCGGTTGCCGAGGCACCTTGCACGACGTTTACGGCGCCGACGTGCAACACAGGTACGCCTTTTGGCTGTCCAGTTGATCCAGACGTGTACACAATGTACGCTTCGTTGTGTCGTGTTGCCAAATGTTCCTTCTTTGGCTGAAAAACCTGGCCAGCCATGAGTACCTTCGTAGGTGGCAGAAACACCACAGGCAAGCCGGTTTTCAAGATTTCAATGCGATTTCGACACGTTTCCGTCGTAACAACAGCGCAAGCATTCGAGTCTCGCAGCATGTATAGCAGACGACTGGGAGGAAAGTCTGCATCCAATGGAAGCATTGTACCGCCAACTTTAAGCACCGCCAGCAAACCAACTGGAAACTCCAGACAGCGCTCCATGATCACAGCAACACAAGATCCGACACATACACCTAAGGCAGCAAGATCCCAAGCAAGCGCGTTCGCCTGCGCATTCAGTTCGCCATACGACAATGCCTTGTCTTCGAACTCGATCGCGCGATAGTCTGGGTGCCTTGTCGCACGCTGTTCAAATTCGTGGTGTAACAACTCGAACGGCAGAGGGACAACCGACCCAGAGCTCGAGTCCTCGATAATCTCGACTTCAAATGGGCGAAGACACCACAATACCTCGCTGGAACAGTCACATGATAAGGCATCGACGGCTTGACACAGAGAGTGCTCGAACTCGAGCAGAATGGACGACGTCTGCCATCGTGAAATGCGTGAATTGTTGAAGAAAGCAGTGACAGTCAAGACGAACTCTGATGGTTCAACAACCATCTCGACGGAAAATTCCGTCGACCCCTTTCCGTCCGACACTGAGGACATTTCAACAAAATCGTCGATGGCAACGGACGCATGCGAATCCTCAACGCTTTGATACACAAGCAACGTGTCGAACAAGTCGCCCTCGATGCCGCTCCATCGCTTGACATCCGTCAGGCTCGCGTGCGAGTGCTCCATCGTCGCCACGCGGTCCGTCAACACACACTTGAGCTGCGACGACAACGTCGACGCGTCGTCGAAGCGGACGCGGCAGGGCACCGTGCTGATCAGCGGACCCATGA